GGCGAGGTGGAGGGGGGAGCAGCGAGCGGCCTTCCCGGCGCTTCCAGCCCTTCCAGCCCCTCATCCCTGCCCTGGCGTGAGGAAAACTGCCCCTGCAGCACCCCCTGCCCCCGCCGGGACAGCGCTAGGGGTCTGCAGAGCGGCTGAGGGAGCGGGGGTGTCCGGCCCAGGAGGTGAGGGGAGGCGGGAGTGAGGGGGGTCGGGCTCTGCTGACAGGGCGAGAGGAAACGGCCTCAGGTTGTGCCAGGGGAGGTTTAGGTTGGATATTGGGAGAAATCTCCTCCCCAAAAGGGTTGTCAGGCCCTGGCCCAGGCTGCCCAGGGAGTCCCCATCCCTGGGGGGGTTTCAAAGCCCTGGAGATGGTGCTGAGGGACCTGGGGCAGGGGTGGCCTTGGTGGGGCTGGGGAAGCAGTTGGGCTTGGTTACCTTGAAGGTCTTTCCCAACCAAAACAATGTGATTGTTCTGCTCTATGGTTATCCCAGTTCACCAGGCAAACCAGACCAAGCGATTGGGAAATCCAGATGAGGCCCTCTGTGTTTGGAGATGCAGGAGGCTTTGCCTCTAAAGAGGCACGTGGGGTAGCTGCTTGGAAGCTCCTGAATCTCTGTCCTAGATGTGAATGAGCCTTGTTTTAAATCTGCTGTCTCAGCTGGTCAAGAGGAGGTTTCATGGACATGGTGGGAGCATGAAATCAGTGTTAGGGGGCAGGATCACCCACAGGCTGCTCATCAGCCCCAGGACATCAAACTGCACGTGCCCATGTGTGTTCTCTTCCTGCCTGGGTTTTTGAGCTGCCCCTTCTCATCAGAGAGGCAATGTTCTCAACACAAAGAAAAAAGAAGAGGTTCTGTGGAGGGCACAGTTACCCAGCAAGCCCCAGTTTACACCACAAGGAGCCTCAAGCTGGAGACTCCAGGACTAGTTACTGTGATGAGTCCCACTGCATGTGAAAAGGGGGAGCTCCCACGGTTTGGCAAACGGGGAATCAACCTATCCCAGTGTTTCCCAGTTCTGCCCAGTCTCTCTGTTCTGTAGGTTTTCAGCATCAAGTCAATGTCTAGGAATCCTCAGCTTCTGGAGGGTTCTTACATTCCTACTCTCAGATCTGAAACGTGCAGTAAAAGGCACCCTCGTGGTGTCTTGCACTCAGCACACATGTGGAACATCTGGCTGGGCACATCCAGAAGGCCTGTGCTGTGCTTCCCAGCACATCCCATCCATGTTCAGCCTTCCTGGAAGGTCTCAGAGCTTCACAAGTGCTGCTGGAGGACAATGTGAAGCCTGCCTGGCAATCCTTGGCTCCACAGCACGGACACAAGGCTCACAGCTGACACACAAAGACCTCAAAATCTGTACAGCCCCAGTCCTGGACTGGTGGGAAGATGCTCCTGGAAAGCCCAGCAGGATGGCAGCCCTAGGGTGGCTGGTGGGCCCACATCAGCTTCTGCTCTGGAGAGCAAACTGTTTTGGAGCTCCCTCCCTGCTTCCAAGCATTTGTGTGACAGGCTTTGGAAGGATTCACGACAGGAATCAGCAACCTGGTCTGGTCTGACATTACATGTGGGGTGGGAACCGTGCAGGGGGGTTGGAATTAGATGATCTTTAAGGTGCCTTCCAACCTAATCCAGTCTGGGATTCCATGATTCTGTGCCCGAGGACCCTCAGTCTGCAGCCCAGCTCCCCCTCCCATCTGTTACCTCTGCTGCCTTTTCCCTGTCCTTCAGCTGAAGATCCCCATAAGGACAATCCCTAATTATTATTTGTCATCCTCAGGGCATCATGACATTGCTGAACACCACAGAAATAAAGAACAGAGATGCAAGGGTTTTTCCTGGAGAACAAGTGTTTCCTCATGTCAGTGTCTTGTGGTGCCCTCGTGGAGACACCAGCTGTCCCAAAGGTCAAAGCAACGTCCCCCAAATACTCACAACAGTGCAGATGTTGATCAGCAGCTGAGCCCAAAGGCAGCAGCCCCATCCCATGTCTCCTTCTTATGGCTCAGCTTTCTCTGTGGAGAGCAGAAGCAAAAAGCATGTGGAGGTCATAGAATTGTTAAGGTTGGAAGGGAGCTTGAAGACCATCCAGTTCCAACCCCCCTGCCATGAGCAGGGAATCACCAGACCAGGTTGCACAAAACCTCATCCAACCTGGCCCTGAAAACCTCCAGGGATGGGGCATCAACAGCCTCCCTGGGCAACCCATCCCAGTTCCTCACCACCCTGATAGTGAAGAATTTCCTCCTCATGTCTCACCTCAATTTCCCTCTTCCAGTTTTAATCCATCCCCCCTTGTCCTTTCCCTCCCTGCCCTTGTCCCAAGTCCCTCCCCAGCTTTCCTGGAGCCCCTTCAGGCACTGGAAGCTGCTCTAAGGTCTCCCTGGAGCCTTCTCTTCTCCAGGCTGAACACCCCAACTCTCCCAGCCTGTCTCCAGAGCAGAGCTGCTCCAGCCCTTGGATCATCTTGGTGGCCTCCTCTGGACCCTCTCCAACAGGTTTATGTCCTTCTTGTGCTGAGGGCACCAGAACTGGACACAGGTCCTGACCCCCAGTTCAGGGCTGGAGGGAAGAAACAGCCCAACATGTTCTTGACCACAGAGTCCTTCTTCCTCCAAAATGCTTCCTTGATTGGCAACAGCTCCTGGGATAAGTTATGCAGCATCCCTCAATGAATAAAGAGGGAAAAAAATAATCAACCCATGCTTTAGCAACCAAGTCAACAGAGTCCATGAAGATTTCTCTTCTTTCTCCAGACTTCATTGCACAAGCATGACCAGCAGGGAACCACCACATTCATACCAGCCTTTCTCCTTTCAAACCTAAATTAAAATCAAGCAGGAACTGAGAGGAGGCTTTTCAAAGCAAAACCTTTGCCTGCTTCTCACCACATTTCACACAGAGGGATGGTTTTCTTCTAGGCACAAGCCATTTTCAGAGCTGTGTCTCCCACGTCAGCTCACAGCACCAGAAAGGGAAAGGCTTCTGGCCATGGCCACGGAGAATTCAGCTCCAGGGAGTCTGGTTTCCAGAGAGACAGATCAACAAAAAGCCACAAGACACGGGGGGAAAATGGCTAATGACAGCGAAGTCAAAGAGGTAGATCTGTCACATTAGCAGCAGGCCTGGTGAGGGCTGGGGAAGCAGAGGGTAATGACAGCAAGGCTGCCACAGTCTGGGCAGCACCCTTTGGGAGAGTGGGGCAAGGGCAAGGCGTGGGGAAGTGTCTGAAGGGCTGCAAAGCCACAGTTGTTATGGAGATGCTCTTGGTTTTTGGGGACACTGCTGCTGTCCTTGCCCAGGTTTATCCAGGTCCTGAAGGATCAGAGCTGGAGGTGGCTGAGCTGGAAGGCAAGGTGTAGGGGGTTAAAGACAAGGCCTCTCACACTGGTTTCTCTGGCAGGGGTGCACTAACTGGTGCTGGAAGCCACCAGGGGGTGATGTCAGGGTCCAAGGTTCCCCATCTTTTACCTCAGAGGGTGGCTGTGCTAGCCCGGGCTGGGTGAAGGGGCTTCACCTCCCCTGGCACCTTCCTGCTGGCTTTGCTGCCCAAGCAGGGTTAGAGAGAGAGGATGCATCCAGATCCATCAGATCACTCTGATCCATCAATCCCTGGGGCCAGGCACTGGCTTTATTCCCTCTTGATCCATTTTCTGATGCTGACTGCCTTGTCCTGCCACCCTGTCCCTGGGAACCTCTTCCCGTGCAGCAGATCCCACAAGCCTGGTACATCCAGGGGTGGGCACAGATGACACTACCTCCCGCTCAGAGCATTGTCACTTAACTGTCACCTCCCCACCGAGCTCCTTCTTGCTAGCCTGACCCTTTGCACCTTCCCACTAATTACAGCACTTCCCGGTTTCCCGCAGGACACAAACGGAGCCCGAGCTCCTGGCTGATGATTGACCCTTTCAGCTCTTCCCCAGCCCTTCCCGGTGCTGGCAGTCGAGATGCACGGAGGGGGAGGACTCTGCATATTCAGCACTTGACCCTGCCTTTTCCCAGGCAGAAATTCAAATGGCACCTCTCTAGGAGGGGATCACATCTCCCCGGGGCATCCCTAGCTATTGTGCCTCCTCTCCTCTACCCCAGGCTGTGTGTGTTTGTAGTTACCAAATGCAAATCACATTTCCCACCCTCCTGGCTGAATCTCTCACCCTGCCAGACCCTCCCCCCTTGTTTTTTCTCACAGGCTGGTTTTGCAACGCTCTGCCGAGCTCCCCCAGCCCCTCCCGGTCTCACCTCCCTCGGCCGTGCCCAGCGAGGGAGCTGCAGGGAAGGAGATTTAGGGCAATCCTCTTAATCAAGTACCCGCAGCACCTCGGCCTTAGCCTGGCTCTAGACACAGAAACTGCAGCTTGGCAGCTGAAATCTCCCTTTCCTGAGGAATGCCAGCGACTAACTCCTCACTGCATTTTCAACAGGTACCTTCTTGGCCTTGGGCAGCTGTGGTGGAAGCCTTGGAGCTGTGGCTTTCTTGTCACTCTGGGAAAGCTGGGTGGCAGCAGCCAGGTCAGGTCAACAGCACCTAAACAACTGATAATGCTTAGTTAACTATATGAGAGTATCCTTCACCTCTGAGCATTTCAACTTCCAGGCTTGTCTCAAGCCACCTTCAACCCTCAGCTCGTGCTCACTCCTGATACAGACACCTGGAGCACATGAAGTGGAGGGGATGGTTGATGGGAAAAGCTCATGAATTGGTTCTGTGACCCAGCAGAAGCTGCTCAAAATGATGGAATGAATATGGAATGAATTCCAGCTGGCCCTGGGGCTAAACACAGCCAGCTCCTTCGAGCAAACCCAGGTGCACACAAAGCCCCCAGAGTCCCCAGGTTGTGATGTGAACAGTGGGAAGTTGCCTCAGGGTTTCCACCACGGTTACCTGTCCTGCTTGTGCTGTGAGTTCAGCTTCTCTGTGTTCCAAAGGCTGCCAGAGCAGGAATCTCTCAGCCCACACCACAAGCCCTTGGCCAAATTCTGTGCTGGGGAAATGGGGGTCAGCAGAGCCCCCATCCCTGGCTCTCCACTCATTGCTCTTCACACACACTTGTCTGGCCCAGCCCTCAGCCATGAGGATCAGACTGCCTCAGTTTCCAGCCACCAGAGCTGAATCCCAGGGAGCTGGGTTCCTTGCTGGCTGCTCAGAGGGAGCAGGCCATAACAACCTCCCACCAGGTTTCCCAAAGGTGCACAGGAGCTGAGGCTGACAGATCTCTGGAATTAAAGGCAAACCTGGGCAGGAAGAGTTAAAACATGTCACAGAACTGAAGAGCTCCCCTGCTTTATGTAAGGGCACAGACAGGGCTCTGGGCTGTCCTTGCAGCCTTGCCTTCTCTGTGGCCACTGAGAAGGAGATGGAGGAAGGAGGTTGTGCTGGGAAACGTGCCATGGAGAGAGGCAATAAAATACATTTATTTTAAAAAGCACACACCAGGACCCCCCTTATGTGAAGGACACAGACTAAAGGTTCATTCTTGTTTCCCTAGGGCCCTGCAGTCATGTTCTCCATCCAGGCCAGAGTGCCAGCACATCTGGTAGGAAGGGGGTGGAAGGAGTGGGCTGAAGAGCTCAGTGGTCTAAAAGAAGGGGCAGGAAGGACCAGCCAAGAGTGTGTCACATGCTGAGTGGGCCTCCACCTCCAACACAAGCCCAGAGAGTGAAGCTGCAGGGCTGCCAGGGCTGCCTGGTGAGCACAGGCTGCTGGGTGTGCCCTGCCTGGCACTGCTGCTGTCCCTCGGTGTGTCTGCTCCCAGCAGGCTCCGTACTGTGGGAGCAGCAGCAGTCCCCATGCAGATGGTGGAGGGGATTTGATGGGTTCTTTCTCCTGGAGCAATAACTGGGCCTGCCTGTGTTCAAACCTGGTCTTCATTTCAGATGCTGCAAAGGGCCAGTGTTTATCCCTGAGGAAGAACATTCCCTGGTGTTGGGTGAACCCATAGTATAAGCCTGCCCCCAGAGTAGCTCTCCATGACCCCCTCACCCAAAGCAACTTCCTTCCCCTGCAGCCTCCTCCCAACAGGCAGCTCTCTCCCACCTTCCCATCCATCACTCCTGGCTTTCAGGCCTTTGTCAGAAACCTTCTGCCAAGGGACAATGGCAGCCCAGGGTCCCCATTCACCCCTGGAGAAAAGGGCCTGTGCATGAGGAGTGATAAATGGTTCTTTCCCAGCTGGAGACAGAGGCCTGGACACCCCACCAGCTGCAGGAGGGCAGCCCTTTGTCTTTCTCTGGAGAGAGATGAAGCAGAGGTCGGTCTCCAGGCTTCCCAGCAGCTCCCAGTTTGAGGCCTCCCCTGGTAGAGCCAGAGTCCTGGGGTTATTTGCAGACGTGTCTCTCCACCTGCCGCCGACACTTCTTGCACACCACGTAGCAGCACCAGTGGTACTTGCAGTGACACCTCTCCTCCAGCTCCTCCGTGTAGGTGTTGTACCCACGGCCACAGCACATCAGGTTGCAGCTGTCACTGCCCAGGGAGGTCTTGTTGCACTGCCTGTCAAGGGGAGGGGGTGGGAGAGGGACCTGCAGGAGGGTCCCCGTCCCCCCCACGGTGCCAACCACAGCCCCCTGCCCTCCACGCATCTCTTGGGGTGATGCCAGCTGGTGTTACTGGGACAGTGCTGGGACAGCTGGGGCTGAGGTTGGGCACACTGTCACCCTGGGGGCAGGAACTTCCCGTGGAGAAGGAAGGGCAGCTGGCTAGGACCGGGAACTTCTGCTAAATCTCACAGGGACTGCAAATGACAGCCCTGAGGCAGCCTGGGCTCAGCCTTCAAGCCAGGTTTTCCCATCCTTCTAAAAACTTCCCCTGCTCTGCAATCACTCCAGAAAGGAGACAGACATCTGGGAAGCACA